CCTAACACAGGCTCATAGCACCTGAAATCCAGGGACCAGGAATTGGCCAAGGGTCCCAATGACACCTTTAGTAATAGAACTTCAGTGCTGCTGTTGTGAGTGTGGTACCAGAGGATGTTTTTTGAATCACTGAGTCATTAAGGTCAAAAAAGACCTCCAGGATCATCCAGTTCAACCTTTGACCGAATCCCACCATGCCCACTAAACCATAGCTTGGAAGTGCCACCTTTCCTCATTGTTTGAACACTTCCAGGGATGGTGACTCCACCACTGCCCTGGGCAGCCTGTTCCAATGCCTGGTCACTCTTCCAGTGAAGAAATTTTCCTAATGTAGAACCTGAATGATAAGCCATTCTTAATTGTCATAGGGACAACAGGAATCTGCATCTTAGGAAGTGCCTGTGCTGCAGCTTAAAAAATCCTTTTTCTCAACTAAAAAGATAAATTCTTTCCCCTCTCCCTAAATCACTATGTGCCTTTTTCATCCTGAGCAGTAGCATCAGCTCAGGGAAACAGGCTGTGTTTGGCTGTGGTGCTTCCAACTTGTTGGTTTGGAGGAGATGTTGGCACACTCCAGTGAACCTCTCTGTGGGCATCCTTGGCAGTCCCTGAAAGAAGCTCCCAGAGTGTCCGTGGGACTGTGACTCATCTGAGTGTAAAATGTGCTGTAAAAGAGGTTGCACCAGTCCAGAAAATGTTCCAGTGGTGCTGGTTCTCTTTGGTGGACTTACAAAGCCAAGTACCACCGACCTGCAGAGGAGTTCACAGCCCCAGGCACCCCCAGGCACGGCCCAGAGCTCGTGGGAGCAGTTTGGCAGCAGGGTGGGCACTGCCCTGTCCAGTTCTGAGACCCTCCCTCCCAGGAGAAGCTCAGGGTGTTCCTGCCAAGCACAAGCCTCTCTCCAGGCTCCTTCCCTGCCTTGGGAAGCTGTTTGCCGGGGGGATAAAGGGATGGGATGTTCTGAAGGAGGCTTCAAGTGCCATTCTGTGTGTTCTGCTTCCCAGATCCCGGTCCCTGCCTTCAGCCTGGTCACCAAGGAGGGGCACCCGGTGCACTATGACATGGAGGTGCCCGACTCTGGCATCGACCTGCAGTGCACCCTGGCCCCCGACTGCAGCGTCGGCTGGACCTGGCGCGTCAAGCACGGCCAGCTGGAGAACAGGCCCTGAGGCCCTGCCTGGCTTTGGAGGTTTTTACCTCGTGGAAAGAAGGAATTACAAAAGCTTCCAACCTGCCCTGCCGTGGTGGAGCTCCAAGTGCAGTGGCTGGAGTGCAGTGGCTGGCGTTCGTGCTGCGGCGGGACGGCGGCTCCACTGCGCTCGGGCCTGCTCGTGTCGTCCTTCTGACCCGGTCCCAAGGCATGTCCTGAGCTCAGATGTTCCCCAGGACGGTGGGAATTACTTGTTTTGGGTGTGAGTGATAGAACTGGAGGATGGTGGGTGGAAATTCCTGCTTTTTGGAGGAATGTGGTTGTGCTTTCCAGGAGAGCAGGGGGGTTGGGTGAGAACTGTGGCTCAGCCTCAGGGGTGAGGCCGGAGCTGCTGGGCTCGCCCAGGGGAGGAGTTTGGGTGCCCTCAGTGCAGCTGGGGGTTGGTTGTGCTGAGAGGAGCTGCCTGACTTCCTTCCAGATGGAGGAAAAAACACTTCTGTAGGGCTTTGGGGAGCATCATCTCCACCTCCAGCCTATTGCACGGGGAGAATCGACAGCAGGAACTGGCTGGTTCTTGGTCTCACCTCCCACCCTTCCCCGCAGATCATTTCCTTCTTGAATCAGAAAAGAACTTTGTTCCCAGAAAGAGCTTTGCTTGCAGCTCCCACTTGCAGGTCTTGGAGGAGCTGGTGCTCTCTCTGGTGTCTCTGGCAGACAGGGCAGGAGGAGGGTATGGAATTCCTTGCTGGGAAGGTGGAGGGGCTGTTCCTCCATCCTGACTTCAGGTGACCTGTCCCATCCAGGCAGCTCCCCAGGAAGGGGAGGGGATGGTGGCTCTGTCAGCTCTGACAGGGCTCAGTTTTGCTGCAGAGTTTATATAAAACTCCCTCCCAGCTGCCAGGGCTGAGCCCAGTGCCCCAGTTCTGTTGGCCCAGCCTGGCCTCACGAGGCTTCCCATCCTCCCCTCCCTTCCAGCTGGTTCATGGAGTGGGATGGGTAGCTGGGCCTGCAATGCCTTAAGCTTTGAACTGTTTTTTTTTACTGATTTATGAATGTTTCGAACATCCTGAAACCTCACAGGTGAAATTCAGGTGGGTGGGTGTTGTTCACCCTTCCCCAGCCCAGAACAAAGCCAGAGGGAGGTGTGAGCCCTGAGTGTGCTTGTTCAGGACTGCTCCAAGGCCTGGCACACCTGGAAATCACAGCCCCTCGTGGTGGCTGTGGCTCTTCCAGAGCTCTGGAACTGCAGTGGCCTCCAAGCAGGGGCTCTGCATCCAAGCTGAGCAGAGAAACGGCTCCTGAAGAACAAGGTGGGCCCTGCTGGATCCATGGAGGTCTGGGGGACACAGTGGGGCAGGAATGCTGGCAGTTTTCCCAAGCTGAAGTTCACTTGGAAAGTGGCTGGGGAAAGTTAAACTCTGGGCCTCCTTTTTGAGGACCAGCACTCATTAAACAAGGGATGCTCTTCCCTTTGATCTCCCAGAACATGGGCTGGTTTTGCCACACCAGGCAGTGACATCCTTAATCAGAAAACTCCAGTTGTTGATGTAATAAAAAAGTGGAGCTCTTGGAGAAAATTGAAACCTGTCACCACTCTGGGTATATTTTTATAGCACTTTTTGTTCTAAAGCACTTAATATGTTGTCCAAAATAGGCACCTAATTATATCTGCAATGCCACGTTCAGAGGCTTTTTAGTAAGTAATTAACACATTACACACATGTCTTCCAGGAGGGAGTGGGGGAAGGGGTAGGTTGGCTCAATTCCTTTTGAGATGCCATAAACTACTCAGAATTTAAGCTCTGGAGCAGGAGGGAGCAAAGTGCCTCTTCCAGGGTTCCCAGGAGCTCCCAAGCATGTACCTGGCTTCCTCTGAGAGGGAGAACCTCTTGGTTGTTTCTGAGAAGTCTGTGGTGATGTGTCACTCCAAAAGCAGGGTGGGTTCCATCCCAAAGGCTGCACCTCGTGCTCCTGGTGCCTGGGAGGTGCCCCCATGCCCAGGGGTGTGGGAGCAGCAGGACTGGCTGCAGGACTCTGCCCTTCACCCTCAGCATTAACCTGAACTCAGGCCGCCTGCACGAGGGGTGGGAGGGCAGGAGACCCCCCCGGTGTCCCTATGGGTCCGTGGAGATGTCCCTGTTCCCCAGGTCCGTGGGGATGTGTGTTCTGCACCCTCACCCCAGCATTACCCAGGATCTCCAGCCTCTCTGTCCTGTGCAGAGCCCTCAGTCCTGTTCTGCTGCCACCACCAGCAGTGAGTGAGGCTGCAGGTCCCCAGTCCCAGGGTGGGGGTGGTGGCAGCTGTCCCTGCCCAGGGTCAGCGTCGCCCACCTGGGGGACACTGGTGCCATCCCACTGCCCCGAGCTGGGCTTCTCCCCCAGGGAGGGTCTCCAGGTTCTGGTCCCAACCAGCCTGAGATCCCTCAGCTCTGTCCCCTTGGCTTCCCGTGCCAGGCAGAGCCAATCCGTGTTCCAGCCCAGTTCTGTGCAATACTGACAGGAGAGAGTCAGGGGAAGCTTTTCCTCAAAATTGGGCTGGAACTCGGTGAGGTTTCATAACGGGTGTTTAGGACAGAACCCCAGCTCGGGGCGGGGAGGACGAGCAGCAGTGGGAGTGATAAACACAGATGGCTCCTGTCGTGCAGCTCCTTCCGAAAGTCTGGAAAAAATCGCTGTTGGTGAGGGAAGATGGAGCTGAGGAGCAGTTTGGGATGGGCAGTGCCGGTGTGGGGGAAGGTGCCAGAATGAGGAGCTTGTGTGGAATGAATGACACTTTATAAAACTGTGATTTCTTGACCTGCATTTTCACAGGGAAAAAAAAATAAAGCTAAAAAAAAAATGCTTTTTATTCTCATTGCTGGTGGTTTGATACATTTTCCAAGGAACAAGAGGGTGGTGCTGAATAGGATATTTTTCATGAAGAGGAGCCTGGTCTTATGAAATTCTGCTGATGAAATTCTGCTAATGAAATTCTGCTAATGCCTTGGGTTTGGGGGATGCAGGGAGAAGTCAGGGAGGGTGGTTGGCACTGACCAGGCTCCCCAGGGCAGTGGGCACGGCCCCAAGGCTGCCAGAGCTCCAGGAGTGTTTGGACAACGCTCTGAGGGACAGGGTGGGATTGTTGGGGTGTCCTGGGCAGAGCCAGGGGTTGGAATCCATGATCCTTGTGGGTCCCTTCCAGCTCAGGATATTCTGTGATTTCTGGGGATGAAGAGGCAGCAATAACTCTGGTGGATCTAAGCACAGGCTTCACTGCATATCCTGACACATCTCCTTCCAAAAAGACAGTCCCTTTCCCTCCCTCTGTCCTGTTCCAGGGGATTTGCTACACCAGGAGCTGCTCGGTCTCCTGGGAGGTGCAGCAGGTCCAGGCTGTTTTTATAAACCCTCTTTAGGCCCTGGAAGGGGCTCTCAGGTCTCCCCAGAGCCTTCTCCCTTCCCTTCTCCAGGTGACCCCCCCCAGCTCTCCCAGCCTGGCTCCAGAGCAGAGGGGCTCCAGCCCTTGGAGCATCTCCGTGACTTTCTCTGGACTTGATCCAGCAGGTCCTTTGTTTCCTGAGGACCCCAGAGTTGGACACAGTGGTCCAAGTGGGATCCCATGAGGGCAGAGTGGAGGGGAGGGCTTAGACTTCTCTGGAAAGGTACAGCTCAGCTTAGGGAAGCACCATCCATCCCCCTCTTGGCTCCAAGGACAGCCCAGCCCAGTGCAGAACAGCCCGTGTTGGGCTTTGTTCTGGACCTTGGTCCTTCCTTCCCTCCTTCTCTCCATCCTCTCCTCCCTCCCTCCCTCCTTCACAGCATCCCCCCCTCCCTGCAAACCAACCTTCTCCCCGACAAAGTCCTTTATTATCCTCTGAGACGTTTTATTACCAGTTCTGCTTTAGAATTAAACAGGCCTTCAGTATATAAAAATAATGTATACAAATGAGCAGTTAATGGTTTACATTTCTGGCTTAAAGGCATTTATAAGTTACACATTCATTCCCCACCCCTCCCCGGGTGACGCGGAGCCGGCGCTGAAGCAGCTTAAATACAGCGGGAAGCAGCGGCTGCTCTGGGCTGAGCTGGGCTAAAGCCGGGACTAGCGAGGAGGGGCAGGAGGAGGGACAGGAGGAGGGAGGTGCAGCCGCATCCTGCAGCGGGGGCCGTTTAACGAAGTGAATGCACTGAGGGGTTTAATGGCCACAGTGCGGGGCTGGGGGTCACTGGGCAGCAGCGGGGCGGGGGAGGAGGGATCGGGGGGTCGGGGGGTCGGGTCCGGTGCGGTACCGGGAGGCTCGTGCGGCTCTCGGGCCTCTCTGGCGGCAGCAGCGACCCCGCAGCCTTGGGGATCGTGTTTGCTGGAGGCTGCCCGGCACAGGGAGCAGCTCCTGCCCCCCGGGCTGACGGTCACGGGGGATCCCAGAGGCTCCAGCCCCAACAGCGGAGGCGGATTTGGGGGCATGCAGGCGGGCAGAGGTATCAGCACCTCGCAGAGATTGTCCCTGCTGCTGATTGTCGCAGCTCCGGAGCCTCCCCTGCGGCGAGGAACAGCCCGGCCTCGGGATCCTGGGAACTGCTGCTCGGCACAGCCCTGGGATCCCAGGGACACCCCGCATGTGGGTGTTGCATTCCCTGCTCCCGCAGCGCAGAGGAATTTGAAGGAAGACTTAGAAAATCCCTGTTAAAATAGCACCGCTGCCGGGCCCCGGGGGACGGGAGGGGCCCGGGGTGGGAGCTCTGCAGCAGAGGAGGAGGACGCGGCTCTCAGGGGGCTCTGCGGGGCCGGGGGAGGTGCGGGAGATGTGCGGGGACCGCCGGGTCCCGGGTGACACCCACTCCCCTCCCGCAGCGGGAATCCAAGGCACCAGCAAGCTGAGGAGTGGGACACACCGGTGCGGGGCCGGTCCCGCGGCGGGCGGGCGATGGAGCAGCGCCGGGGCAGGGACAGGGCAGCCCCTCTTTGCCTTCCAGGACAAGCTGGAGCCCTTTCTGTGCTCCCCCCTCCCTGCCCGTACCCAGGAGGGTCCCCCAGCCCTGCCAGCCTGGGGGAGAGGAGCTCAGGGGCATCGCCAAGCAAGCACGGGGGGGTCCCTGCGCCAGAGCCCGGGGCGGGCAGGGGGAGCTGGCACGGGAAGCGGCTGGAGCAGCTCGGAGCGGGCACTGTCCCCCGCCCCGCGGAGCCCCGGGACAGTGGGGTGGCATCCTGCGGTCCCCTCTGCGTCGGGAGGATGGTCCTGCCCCGGTCCTGGAGCTGCAGGGCCGGCGCCGGTCACAGCGCGATGTCCGGCGTGGCCTGCAGGCCCTGCCCCGCCGGCCGCTTCTTGGCGCTGCCGCGGCCCTTGTCCCCCCGCCGGTACGGGTTGTTCCGCAGATCTGCACGGGGGGAAGGGCAGGGACCGGCTCAGCTTCGCTGCACACCCGGCGGGGACTGGGAACCCACCACCCATCACGGAATCGCGGAGTGGTTTGGGTTGGAAGGGACATTAAAACTCATCCAGTCCCACCCCTGCCATGGGCAGGGACACCTTCCACCAGCCCAGGTTGCTCCAAGCCCTGTCCAACCTGGCCTTGGACACTTCCAGGGCTGGGGCAGCCACAGCTTCTCTGGGCACCCTGTGCCAGGGCCTCCCCACCCTCCCAGGGGAGAATTCCTTCCCAACATTCAACCTAAACCTCTCCTTCCCCCTTGTCACGTCTCTCTGCCCGGGATTTGCCCGTCTGGGTACAAGAACGCTCAGAAGGAGCCAAGAGCCACATCCAGTGACAGGAGGAGCAGCAGCTACAAACAACCAGCCCGTGGGACCCCAACCCTCGGCTGTCAGTGCCCGTATCGGGGGGGCTGATGCCGGGGTGCCCCCGGGATTGGGTGCAGAGTGGGGAGAAGCCCCGGTGGGTGGGACAGCCCGGCAGCCCCCGGCCCCCCGCGCCGAGCCCCTGCCCCACGTTACCTACAGAGGGCTCTCCTCGTTGTAACTCACGTCGCAGAAGAGCCGGGACGAGCGTTTGCCCGTCCGGGCCGTGAAAGGGACAGTTTTCAGAGCTGAGCAGAGCGATCCAGAGACAGCGAGGAGGAGGAGGAGGAGGAGGAGCAGGAGAGAGAAGAGAAGAGGAAGAAGCAGAATAGAAGGAAGAGCTGTGAGACAGGGCAGGGAGAGCTTGGCCACGTGGCATGGGAAGGTGCTGCAGATGGGTTTGATCCCTGCAATGGGGCTTGGTGACCCTCCAGCCCCTGTGAGAGCCCCTGCAGCCCCCAGACCGAGGGTCTTCCGCTGGCACCGAGTGCTGGGTCTGAGGTGGGAGGGACACTCGGCCCCTCACGTGAAATCATCTCTCACCTGAAATTATGTCCTCGATGGCCCCATCTTTGCCTTCGTAGATGAGAGGCTCCTTCACCATCTGCTTCTTCTTGAGCTCAGCGATCATGTCCATCTGCTGCCGCTTGGCCTTCTGGATGGGCAGCTGGGGAGGGACAGTGTGGGTGAGAGGCACGGTCACCCCCCACCCCCCAACAGACCTGGGGTGCCCTCACCTTCACCTCCCGCCCAGCTCTCCCTCCCCAGGGCCTGTTTAGTCCCTCCCCACCAGGCAGCCCACTTGGGGCTGGAGCTGGGACCCCACCAGGACACAGACACGGGAGCTCCTTCACCTCCGGCTGCTGCTCGGTGGGGCTGTTTTCTGCCTCCTTGGCCGCGGCCTCTTGTTTCTTCCACAGCTCAATGTCCTGCTCTGCTTTCTTGGGAGAGGGGCAGGAAGGGTGTGCTGAGCCAGGGGGGTCCTGCTGCAGGACTGCAGCCCCCCACAAAGCTCCCAGCTCACCCCAGTCCAGCTCCAGCATCTCTGACCATCCCAAAGGCTGTTCCCAAGCCCCAGGGTCTCCCAGCCCCATGAGCCCCAGCCTCGCCCGTGGCTTCTGCTGGTTGTCCCAGGTGAGGTCAGACCCCCCAAATCCCCTCCCAACCCTCAGAAACAGGACACCCCCTGCCCTCTCCTACCTTGTAGGCTCTGATGAAGCGCACGAACATGGGGAAGAAGGTGGTGGGGGGACTGGTCTTGGGGTTCTCCCCAAAATACTCCACAGCCGACTCATAGGCCTCCTGCGGGCACAGACACCCCGATGGGGGGGCAGGGGCCGGGCAGCAGCACCCAACACCCACCTCCTCCTTCCAGCCTCTCCCACCTCACCATCCCACTCCATATCCCTCCCAGCTCTCCTGCTGGAGCCACATCCCAACCAGGAGCCTCTCCCATGGGCCAGAGGTGGGAGCACCCTGGGGTGTTCCCATGTAGGAATGGGGGACACAATCCTATCCTCTGCCCCCCCCCCCAGCACCCCAGCACCCCAGCACCCACCTTGGCAGTTTTGCTGTCAGCCTGCAGCTTCTCCATCACCTCTGAGTTGACCTTGAGGAAGTCCTTGAGCACGGGGCTGTCGTCCTGGCGCAGGAACTCCCTGCGGGTCAGCTCCATGCCCTGCTGGAGGCTCCGCACGTCCTGCAGGACCCCGTCCAGGGACACTGTGGGGGGGAGAGCGCGGGGTCAGGGCAGGCTGGGAGCACCAGGGGCTGCCACAGCCCCAGCCCAGGGCCCGTGGGCACTACCTGTGCCCGCCTTGTCGAGGAAGTGCAGCTCGGTGTGGAAGCCCGTGAGCTCCGGGTACTTCTCCGTGATCACCCGCACCAGGTAGTGCAGCAGCGTCTGCTTGCGGTCTGTGGACTTCATCTCCAGGAGCTGGGGGAGAGCTGGGTCAGCCCCGACCCTCCTCAACCAGCCCTTCACCCTGCCCAGGGCAGGCTCTGCTGGCCCTTCATTACTGTGGCTGGGTCTGCATCCCTCCATCCCCACGGCCAGGTCTGTATCCCACCATGCTCATGCTCATTCTTCATCCCTTCATCCCTATGGCTGGATCTGCATCCCTCCATCCCTCCATCCCTCCATCCCCATGGCTGAGTCTGCACCCCTCCATCCCAACCATCAGGTCTGCATCCCTCCATCCCCGTGGCTGATTCCCATCTTCCTCCATCCCCAAGGCTGGGTCTGCATCCCTCCAACCCCACAGCTCATTCTGCACCCCTCTATCCCCATGACTGAGTCTTCATCCCTACATCCCCTCCATGTTCACATGTGGCCTTCCTCTCTCCATCCCCATGGCTGCTTCCCATCTTCCTTCATCCCCACAGATGGTCCCTGAATCCCTTCACCGCTCCAGATCTGTTCTCCATCCTTCCAACCCCACAGCCAGTTCCCGAGTATCTTCATCCCTTTAACTCCCCCCCTCTTGCCTCTCCAACCCTTCACATGGTCTCTTCATGCCTCCATTCCCACAGCTGTTCCCTGCATCCCTATAGCTGCTCCCCATGCCTCTCCAAACCCTATAGGTGACCCTTCCATCCCTCCATCCCTACAACTGAATCCCACGTCCCTTTATCCCTCCAGCTGGTCCCTGTGTCCCCCTGTGCCCAGGGCTGGTCCCTGGCAGTGCCGGTGCCCCCGAGCAGCCCCACGCCGGCCCTACCGCGTCGAGGCTCTGCAGGCGGAAGCCGTAGGCTGCTCCACGCTTGCTGCTGTTCATGTAATTCCCGAAGGCCAGGACGATCTGCAGGGACACAGCGGCTCAGGGACACAGCCTGGGGTGGACAGGGCACCCTGGGGGAGGGGGGCACAGAGCCAACAGGGACCCTGCCAGTACCCTGCGTGCACCCCAAAGCTCTCACCTCGAGGATGTGGCGCAGTTTGCTGGAGGACTTGAGGGACATGGAGGCGGCGATGATGGCGTTGAGTTGCTGTGGGAGGGAGGGAGGGAGGGAGGGGAGCACATGAGGTGGCTGCAGGAGGCCCCCAGCCCTTCCCAGCCCCCAGCCCGCCCGTGCCCAGCACCCACGGGCATGAGCAGCTGGGCCGTGTCGCTGAAGTTGCCCAGGAAGATCATGACGTTCATGCGCTCGGCCAGGCGCGGGATCTTGCTGAAGCGGATCATGAACTGGTCCTCGTCCGACAGCTCCTCCGGCGGCTGCTGCTCCCGCTCGAACTTCCCGATCAGCGTCCGCTCGTACTCGGTGGGCAGGAAGCGCAGCAGCAGCTCCAGGAAGTCGAGGCTCAGGGCTTGCTGGTCGTACCTGTGAGGGGTGGGACACCTCGGACCTCAACCCCCCTGCCACCCACGGCTGGTCCCGTCTTCCCTCTGCCCCCACAGCTGGTCCCCACGTCCCTTCATCTCTGCCCCTGCGTCCCTCCCTCTCATATCTGGTTTCTACATCCCTGAATCCCTCCGTGTCTTGTCCCTACATCCCTTCATCTCTTGTTTCTGCATCCCTCTGTCCCCACGTCTGGTCCCTGCATCCCTCCATCCCTCCGTATCTGGTCCCTGCATCCCAGCACACCCCACACCATCCCAACCCCTCATTCCAGCCAGGCTGTGCCCGCCCTTGTCCCCCCTTGTCCCCCCTCGCAGGGGACACTCACGTCTCGATGGCAGTGCAGATGTCCTGGACGCTGCGGCCGCCCTTGCGCAGGGTGATGGCCAAGTTCTTGGCCCGGTTGGACTCCATGAGGGTCACCTTGCTGGGGGCCTTCTGGGTGGCCTTGGCCTTGAGGGCGCTGATGTCCAAGGCAGGGCCCTGAGCCTTGGTCTTGAACTGCTCCTCAAAGTCACTCATGTCCAGCTCCTGCGGGGACACAGGGCTGAGGGCACAGCAGGGAGGTGGCACGGGACATCTGGGATGGGGACGGGGCCAGAGGACCATAAGGGTAAGGGGAGTGAGAAGATGAAGATGAAACAAGGGGATGAGGATGGAACAAGGGAACAAGCAGAGGGAACGGGCAAGGGGTCAGGGAGGGGGTAAGGAGGGCACAGGGGACCAGAGGATGGAGATGAGGAAGAAGAAAAGGACAGGATGTGAGGATGAGGATAGAGCAAAGGGACAAGGATAGGGTGACAGGAGAAGGATGCCAGACCCTGTGTTGTCCCTCTCTGTGGTGCCAAGGAGCTGCTCCAACCTCCAGCTCCTCCAGCAGCCCTGTGACACCGCGGGTGGGTGCAGGGTGGGTACAGGGGCGACCTCAGCATGGACTGCAGCTCTGACCCACCCAGACCCCCTGTGTCCGGCCCCCCCCAGTCCCTGTGGCCCCCCAGCCCCCTCCTGTCCTCACCTGCAGCACCTTCTCGTCGTTGAGCTCGGTGAACACGGTGCCGTCGATCTGGCTCGGCTTCAGGGCCACCCAGTTGAAGACGGGCATGCGGAACTTGGTCTGGATGGGCTTCTTCACCTTCACTGTGGGGTCACGGGCAAGGGGGACACGTCACAGGGTGGGGGAGTCAAAAACCCACCCCTGGGTGCCCCCAGACCTCGCCTGGGGGGTGTCCCCACCATCCCTGGGCCACACTCACCTGAACCGTTGGCAGTTTGGGGGGCACCAGGCCCAGCTGGGAGCTCCCCCCCGAGGGGTGGGGGTGGTGGAGGGGGGGGGACAGGGCCCTCCAGCCCCCCTGGGAGCGGTGGGGGGGGTGGAGGGGGTGGGGGTGGGGGCGGAGGGGCAGCAGGGGCTGGTGAGGGAGGTGGGGCTGGAGCCAGAGCCGGAGCATCTGCAAGGGAAAGAAGAGGTGGGTGAGAGGGTGCCACGGCAGGGCACGGTGCCACCGCCACGTCCCCTCTGCCACCGACGGACTCTGCGCCCCTGGGCACGTCCCCACGCCCCTGCCCCAGCTTCTCTGCCCAGAGACACGCTGCCACCCCTCCTCTGTGCCTGCTGTCCCCACCAGGAAGGATTCACCCCCTCGCACCCGTGGTACCTGTGCAGGTGGCGGTGGTGACGGTGGTGACAGTGGCGGTGGCCTCTCCAGCAACCACGGGGGCTGCCGGCGTTTCTATGACAACGGGGACGATCTCGATGGCGACGTCCCCGTCGGGCCCACGCAGGATCTGCACCAGCCCCTTCTCCTCCAGCTCCGCCAGCCGCCGCTCCAGCGCCAGCCGGTAGCACTCCTGTGGCCGCGGGGACGGCGGGCTGGGCGGCCGCGGGGGGCTCAGCTGCTCCTGGAGAGGTGACAGCCCCCAGGACCAGTGTCACCGGTGTCCCACTCAAACCTCAAACCCCCAGCCCTCCCTCCGGTGCCGCGGCGCCCGTGGGTGCTCACCCGCAGCGCCTCCAGCTCCCGCCGTGCCTGGCTCAGCTGCTTCTCCAGCTCCGCTATCTTGGCCATGGAGTCGTTCTCCGCATCCTGCAGCTTCTCCGTCAGCTGTGGGGGACGAGGCGCCGCCGGCTCAGCCCCGTCCCCGTCCCTCCCTCGGGGCTCTGCGTCAGCGGCTCCTGCCCACGCGCCCGCGGCCCACCTGGCTGACGAGCTCCTGCAGCTCCTCCATGTGCTCCAGCACCGCCGTCTTGGTCTCCGAGTCCTCCAGCATGGCCCCCACGTCGAAGACGTTGTCCAGGTAGGCTTGGATCTGCACCTGCAGCTTGTCGCTCTCGGTGAGGCGCAGGCTCTGCCGCGGGACAGCCGGGGCACGGTCAGGGACGGGGGTGTGTCCCCCCCCAGCACCCCCAGCCCTCGGGATCACCCACCTCCAGGTACTGGTCCAGCCCCAGGTGGGTGAACTCGTACTGCAGGAACACGCGGAAGTTCATGTTCTCCACCGAGTGCACCACGATGTTGATGAACTGCATGCAGGCCACCTGCGGGGACACGGCACGGGGGTGGCACCACGGCCCCTGGGGACACAGTGCCCCGGGCAGCACACGGGGGGGGTGGCCCTCGGGGACAAGGTGCCCCTGGGGAGGGCGTGGTGGCTTCACATCCCTGGGGATGTGGGGAAGGACCAGTGGCTCAGCAGCCCTTGGGGGCACGATGGCTTAGGGACAGCGTGGTGGCCTTGGGGACATGAAGGCCTGGGGACAGCATGGTGGCCTTGGGGCTATTATGGCACGGGTACAGCGTGGTGTCCTCGGGAACATAAAGGTCCGGGGACAGTCTGGTGGCTTAGAACCCTTGGGGACATGAAGGCCTGGGGACAGCACGGTGGCTCAGCAGCCCTTGGGATACGATGGCCTGGGGACAGTGTGGTGGTTTAGAAGCCCTTGTGGACCTCATGGCCTGGGGACAGTGCAGTGGCCTTGGGGACATGATGACCTGGGGCTCAGCAGCCCTTGGGATATGATGGCCTGGGGACAGTTGGGTGGCTCAGCAGCCCTTGGGGACATGATGCTCTGGGGCTCAGCAGCCCTTGGGGACATGATGCTCTGGGGCCAGTGAGGCGCCTTAGAAGCTCTTTGGGACCTGAAGGCCTGGGGACAGCACAGAGGCTCAGCAGCTCTTGGGGACACAGTGGCCTGGGGACAGCACGACAGCCTGGCAGCCCTTGGGACAGGGCACCCCCAGGACACTGTGCTGGCTCAGCAGCCCTTGGGGACATGATGGCCTGGGGACAGCAGAGCACCGGCCCCATGAGCCGCTCACCATGAAGTCGATGTTGGTGTCCTCGTTTCGGAAATACTCCATCAGCTTCTCAAAGCGGTTCTTCTCCCCGCACACCTGGGGGGGGGAGCAGGGGGCTGAGGGCCAGGGGGACACGGCTGGGGGTGCCCAGAGGGGTGGCAGAGCACGAGGCACCCGTCAGTGGCACCATCCCAACCCTGATGGGAGCTGGCCCTGGGGACACGCTGGCGTGGGGACATCAAGCCCAACAGCTGGACCATCCCCAGGTGAGCCAGGGATGGGTGTGGTCAGGATGGGGCAGGGCTCTGCCACACATAGGGACCCTGAGGCAGGAACCCAGCCAGAGCAGGGCTGTCCCTGTGGGGACCGGTGTCCCTGCTGGGGACTCACCTCCTTGAAGTTGTCGAAGGCAGCCAGGATGATGTCGTGGCCACCTCGGACCAGGCAAACAGCGGCCAGGAGCTCCAGCACCAGGGCCTTGGTCCTGTGGAGACATGGAGTGTGAGGGGGTCAGGGCTGTGGGGTGGGCGAGGGGACAGGGACAGGGACAGGGGGCAGGTCCTACCTGGCGCTCTTGTTGTTGAGGCTCAGGGTGATCTCGTTGACACAGGCTGGGTGGTTCATCACCAGGCTGAAGCCAGACTTGGGGGGCAAAAAGGAGCATTAATGGGGTCAGTGTCCTCCTGCCTCCCCCCCCCCGAGGACGCTCTGGGACCTTGGGCCACCCCCATGCCAGGTGCCCACCAGAGAGGAGGCTGAGTGAGGACATCTCAGAGTAGAGGGGTGGAGAACCGGTCCCACCCCGACGCCGGCACCGCGGGGGCTGGGGATTTTTTGGGATGCCCGCGGATCCCGCCCACTCCCACCTGGTAGTTCATGATGGCGCGGAGGCACATGATGCAGACGTGGACATCGTCCTTCTGGCTGACGAGGCGGGAGTTGCGCAGCGTCTTCCTGCTGTGCGAGGGGTTCAGCCTGGGCGGGGAGAGCGCGGCTGAGCGCGGGCCGGGGGGGCCGGGGGCGCAGCGCAAAGCGGGGAGGGGGCAGCGCTCGGGGGGTGGCGGCGGGGGAGCGGGGGGACACCAGGGAGAGAAACACCCGCGGGAGAAAGCCCCGTGTCCCGTGCCCGTCTAGAAGCCCTCGGGGCGGTGGGGTGACGGGGCGATGGCGGTGGGGTGGGTTTTGGGGCCCCCTCGTGCGCACGGGTGGTCTCGGAGGCTCACCGGGGCGGGCAGGAGCTGCCGGGTGACCTGGGGGCACTGTCCCCATCGCTGCCCGGGGCACCGCAGGGGGCGCTGGGGCGGACGTGGCGGAGGAGGGTGTGGATGTGCTGGTTCGAGAGGCAGCAGCTGGAGGCGCGTTAGAGCCTGCAGGACAGGAGGGAGAAACGGGGCTCCCGCGCCGCCCCGGGGCACCCGCGCTCGGGGACACGGGGGTGGGGGACAAAGGACAGGACCCCCCTGCGGGTGCCACGTCCCCTCCTGACCTGTCCCTGGGGCTGGCAGGGACACCCCGCCTCCTCCGGAGCTGCTCCAGACTGCGAGGGACCCCCGCGCTCCCCGGGGTGCCGCGTTACAGCTCCTGGGGTGACCGCGGTGGGGTGTCCCCGGGATCCCCCCCCGCCCACCGGGGATGCCCCATAGGCCCTGTCCCCGATACCGGTGACCAGCAGTGGGGTCCCGTGGGGTGTCCCCGTCCCTCCGGTGCCCCGTCACCGTCACCTACCGTCAGCGCGTCCCCGGCAGCGTGCAAGAGAAGAGCGGGGTTAGACGGGGCTGCGGGCGAGCGGCGCCAAGCGAGAGCCACCAGCCACTGGCACCGGCTTGGGGGGACACAGGCCCGTTCCTCCGACCCGGCTTTAAACCAGCGGAGTGCGATTTGCTCCCCTCAAAACCTCCAGCACCTCCAATTTTTGCTTATTCCCGGGTTTTACCCAGAGCATCCCACGAGGGTCGCAGTGGGGGGCACAGATCCAGCCCAGCTCCAGGCAGGGCTCAGCCCTTGAGAGCTTTGTCCCCCCAGACCAGCACTGGGGACCCACTTTTAGCACCGGGCCTATTATGGAGACCCATTTTTGGGGCCGGGCCTGCGTCTCCCTGCCGGGCCCCTCTCCAAGCACGGCGCGGCCGGGGCGGGGGGGGGGTTGCAGCGAGGCGGGGAGCGGGGGGGACACGGCACAGGGACAGGGGACAGTTGGGGACGGGACCACACGTTACCTTACAGTGAGGGGCCGCGGTTTGGAGGAGCCCTGGGTGGGGGACGAGGAGGTGCTTTTGTTCAGGTCCTCCAGCGACTGCTCCTTGCCCTTGTCGGAGCCGGGGCTGCTGTTCTCTGCGCTCTCCATGTCATACCTGGCGGCCCGTGGGGACACGGGGACGGTGAGATGTGGCACCCCAGCGTGGGCAGATGCCCCTCTGGAGTCCCCAGGGATGTTGGGGGTGCCCTGCTCAACCCCAGCCATGGAGCATCTGGAGCTCCATTGCTCCGATGACAGGGGAGGGCATCCCCAGGGACCCCCCAGCCCTGCTGAGCCCCAGGGGAGGCTGATCCCAGCCTTGGGGACACCCCCAGGGACCCCCAGCCCCACTGAGCCCCAGGGGAGGCTGATCCCGGCCTTGGGGACAGGACACCCGGGGGGCACGTACGCGACAGAGCACTGGGCGAAGGCGAGGTACTGCAGCAGCACGTCCAGCCCCTTGTTCTCCTCGTTGAGGAACTCCTGGACCCAGCTGGAGGGTGCAGAGGGTTAGTGTGCTCCACCAGCCCCCCTCATCCTCCCTTCCCCTGCCCCCGGACCCTCAGCAGAGCCAGCCCCTGGTCAGAGGTCCCCAGCGAGGGTGGAACACACTGGGGACATGAGGTGGCACCATGAACTGGCAGCTCTCCGAGGCAGGTGAGTGCCACGGGGAACCCCACTCCTGATGTGTGGGGGGCACAGCCCGAGGGCTCTGCTGCCACCACTGCCACCACTGCCACTGCTGCCACGACAGGACAGCCTGGCCCCAGGGACCATGGGCACCCACCACCCCACAAGGGGTCAGGACACCCTGGGTGGGAGCAGGGTCCCTCCTGGCACTCAGGGGGTACCACAGCCAACACGGGGTTCAGGTCCTACAGCACCCCCAGCCTCCCATCAGAGCCCCTCCAGGGGGACAGGATGAGGCCACGAGCCTCCACATCCTGCTGTCACCACCCATCCAGAGCCAGCAGCGTGTCCATCCCCATCCCGGGGACGGTGGCAGCGCTGGGTGACAATGACACCCCATCCTTACCCAATGTAGTTGGTCCTCAAGGAAATCTCCAGCTCCCTGAGCACCTGTGTGGACTCCTGCACTCGCCTCTTGAACTGTGGGATGGGGACAACCATTGGCACTGTCCCTGTGCCCAGTGTGGGACGGGGACCAGGGGGTTGGGGTGCAGGGGGGACCCCTCACCTTCCTGCTGACACCACCCGTGTCCAAGTAGCTCTTCAGCTTCTGGATGTAGGCGGACGGAGGGTTTTTCACCTGGAAACGCTCCTACAAACCCCAGGGAGAGGCTGAAACTGGGCCACCTGCCAGGGCACGGGGACCTGCACAGCAGCCACCGTGTCCCTGTCCCCAGCCCTGCGCTCCATCAATGCTTAATGAGGTTAACGAGGTGCCGTGCCACTAACGAGGTGGGTGGCAGTGCTGGGCACAGCCGGGTGCCACGAGTGGCACTTGGGGACAGGGAGCCCAGACCTCACCTGGTCACAGATCAGCTCCCACTTCTTCTCGTTGTCGTACTGGTTGAGCAGTTTCATCTTGTCTGGGGGCAGGTTCATGGAATTCTGTGGGGTGAAGGGTGGCAGCGTTGGGGGGTCACCCCAAAAATACCCCCCAGGGCTGCAGCACCCACTGCTCACCCTGCACCGGCTGTCCTCACTCAGCAGTGGGAGGATGGGGACCCCAGTGGGACAATGGGGACACCAGTGGGACAATGGGGACA